CGAATTTACAAGGAGAAGGCAACAGAGGCACGGGAAGTGATGAACATTAGAAAAGCAGAGTGTTTTGAATAGTGGACAGTGTTACTGGTGCCGCCTGTGTCGGAGAAGATCACTACCACGATCTCAAATTAAATATCTTCAAGCTATGACCTCCCCCCTCCCCCCCTCCCTTTCACTCTCTCTCTCACTCTCTCACTCTCTCTCTCTGTCAGTAACACTAAACTTAATTGAAAATATTAATTAATTTAAAAATTGCCATCTTGTATATATATATTTCATTATGTTATAGGGAAAGGGCTTTACATAAGTTGGACAACTTGTGCCCGATCCCTTTTGTATATTAGATGCAAGTAAAAATATGTTTAAATCAAAATCAAAAGCTTAGCTGATAAAACATGTATAACTTTGCAGTGATAGCCTAAATATATAGATAAGAAACTGTTGAGAAAGAAAAATAGAACATGACATTAGGGATAAAGAAAGTAACTGATGGAGTTTTACAACCGCAGTTGTTCGTGTAAGCAAGGCGTGATGCGAGACAGAAACAGGGGTCAAATATGGAAAATGTGGGATAATGTGACAGTAACTGGATATAAAATACTAGTTTAATGGTAGTAAATACGAAATAACTAATATTAGGCTAATCACCATTTTACCGCTGGCTCTTCTTGTTGCTCAACCATACCATTGTCCAAACTTCCCACTACCATTCTCAGGACCATTCAATCGGGGTGGTAGTCGTAGTGTGATACTACATTATCAAGGGGTGGACTGAACGGTATGTGGAATTCAAAAGATCTTTTGATCTATCTTGAACATCCTCATCTCAAAAATGTTTCTTCTATCAGAACTTTTCGACTCTTTACACTACTATTCCTCATACCAAACCGAGGGAACGCCTACGTTCTCAGGTTATGCGAGCTTTCTTTTCAAAGAAAAGTGTACAACGATATAAATACCTACGGTGTTTACATGTGCAGGTGATTGAGTAATCAAGAGCTTGCTTCGAATATCACGACTTCCGTGACAGATGTCGACTGCTGACAGACACATATTACAACACAGGGTTTCCAAAGATGCAATTTGATAAAGACTGGACAATTTGTATGGCATGCATTTCCCTCTCTTTGTGCCGCTATGCACATGCAGCATCGACAAGCTATATTGTTGCAATAGTATTTTCGATAGCTCGTAAAATAAGTTTTCAATTACAGTTTGTATTCTAAACAAAATGTTCATCTATACAATATGAAGTTGTCAATAATCCTGCATCAAGAACATTTGGTTCACTTCTATCAAAGTATAAAGCATTACACCTACATTATGTATACTGTGTTCCAAAAGTCACTCTCATCACATTAATTTTCTCTCGTCTCGTATTTACAAAATGAACTGCCGCGTTTTAAAATTTGCCATGTGATATTATCGACTGTGTATTTTACAGGGATTTCCCGATAAATCAGAGAGGCAAATTGCTCTTTAAACATGTGAATAGCCCGGATACATATTCAAAGAATTTTGAAGATTTGATTTAATTTTCAGTAAAGAATATATATTTGATAAATCTATTTTGCCTATATGGTACTCATTATTACAGTAAAAATATTTTCGACAGGTGAACAATATTGTTTCATGCTATTAATACCATCCTTTAACACCAACAAAAGTAAATGACACGCTATAACAGAATGATTTCAACATCCTAGAATATAACAAGGGAGGTAAGTCCGTTAAACTTGACGATTTATGATGGTTACCTTACATTGACATATATATTTCCCAAATTCGAACACATGCGTTGCTTCCTATGGTGTACGCTATACATTAGTATTCGTAGGAATAATTTATACATTTGAAATAGTTTTCCATAGGCGATACTATTGCTCACATATATGTAGTTTTGATTTGAAGTATGCATCGCAGGCAAATTTTCTTGATGTCAATTTCGGGTCAAATTCAGGTCAATTTCAGTGCAAATTTTCAGGTAAATGTTTCACCTTAAATGAACTCTTCTTGTTATTTTCAGATGAAATTGACCTGAATTTAACCTGATTCTGACCTGTCCTGAATTTTTCAAGTCAAATTGACCTCGTTAAGTCTTTCTAGCAAATCACCGATTGAGCAGAGTTATAAACAATACTACAAAAGGTCGGTAACGAAAGGACATATTTGGGAGGGAAATACAGTAGACTAAAGACAACAAAAATTAGTGAAGTGGAAAACCATGTTGTTCTGTGAAACAAAAGATTCAGGACTGGTATAAAATCCTTGCAATAAACAGAAAAATCTTACAGAAACAAGGTAAAAACCTTTGTATTGGATAGGGCCTTATTACACAAAGAGAGACATAAAAATGATATTAGGATTATGTGACGATGAAAACCTCCTCTGGAGGGATCATACAGGCACAACTTGTACCAACAGTGAGATATATCTTCAGAGATGATTGATTGAATATCTAGCTCTAGATGTATAATAACTCTGTGCAAATGCATATACAATGTTTATTATTGTTGAATTATAATAGGGGGTAACCATGTAAACAAATTATTCATAAAAAAAATTCGAAAAGTTTGTGATCACACTGTATTTTCTCAACTGTTCTCACGACAAACTCCGAAAAAACTGTGTGGTAAACTGTTTATCATCTTTTTACTACTACCTTTAATATTTTATAAAACAATGTTGTTTTACAATTTGTCAAATAATTTAGGGAATTCATGTTATCTTGTTATAGGCAGCGGAAGTTTCCCTTCAAGCAAAACATTATCAAAAATCTCACTTAAGGATAATAGTTGTATTGTTGGTACACTTGTTTAAAAATATGTTTAGAAGTTGATTCATGAATGGTATGCAGATAATATATAGTATATGTAAGAGGATCTGACTGGATATAAGCTATGATACCAAATCCTGTCATCCTGTATAAAGTTATTACCATTAATACGGTAATTTTATCATGCGGTATAACAAGCTGGTTCATGGTATAAAACGTTTACCGTAATAAACATACAGGAAAAACTGGTGCTGTAACAGTAGCATTTATATACACTAAGACATGCCAACCTTGAAATGCATTGTAAAGAATTGTTCGTTGTATTAACATTTATATATTATATTATTTATGAATATTGTATATGAGTTTACTAATTATGAGGTATTTTAGTTTCAGTGTGTATTGATACTTGCAAGAAGGGAAGTAACGATTTTTTTAAGTTATAGGCGTTCAAGCTCAACTATTCGAGCAACCAATAATTCAATAGTCCCATGATCCAGGCATTGCTATTTTGGAAAGGTTCTCCCTTATCTTCACAAAACCGTCCAAGTGTATTCCACTCATTTCAATATCCATCCGCATGTAGTTATAACAAATGTAGTTTGACTAACCAAGCTCATATTTTTGGAAAGTGTTACTAATTTAATGAGAGTTGTTTCCCTTTTGACATCATTTTTAGCTGCACTAAATCTTGTAAAGCCAGTGATTGGTCCAGCGGAATACGAATTGGTCCTGAGGTTGGAAAACTGGAATATCCTAGGTAACCAGCTATTCTCGGTCTATCTCACTCACGTCCTGGTGGACATATCGGCGTCCGAGTTGAGCTAAGTCTACACAGGAAGTCTCGGACAGTTCGAGATCTGCCCTCTCCATTCATGCAATCGCTGAAGACAGCAATCATGTGAAATTGAAATCGTAGATATTTCATTTTATTTTTATTTTGTCATTGTGGTAAGAGGTTTCAATTTAAGGTCGTATGCTACCAAAACAATGTCCATGGCTTATGTGTCAGTGATATCCCCTTTAAATATCTTAGATAAGTAGTAATAGATCCGAGGTGACTTGTCAAAAAGTGTTGTCAAACACGTGCTCCTGTGTACCTGTACAAGCTATAACCATTCAAATCAAAACAACATATAAAGTACCATGTCTTACAGGTAACACGATGTAAACTTCTTTTGATTATGAGATGAATGACGATGCAGAAGTTCGGTAGCATATATCCCTAACACAGATTTTAAAACTACTATGTTTTTATTTTGTTATCATGACGTTTCAATTAATCATTATGTTTAAAGTCCTCTGTTAAAGTCAATTTGTGAAGTTGTTAATAACTTGATTGTATGTTTTTGGATAGATAATCCCAGCTTTCAAAGACCAACCCATGAATACACAATTGCAACTTAAATGGTCATTAACCTAAAACTTAGCAATTATTCATCCCCTTCATTGAAGAAACATGGTATTTGGAGTTCTTTATCAAAAACATGACTATTGTAAAATTAACTGTATTATTAGATTTTTTTTGGTTCACCATTTTGCGGATTCACACAAAATCATTATTCGTCAGATAACTTTTTCGTGGTATTTTACTTTATTCTCAGAATATAAAATTACATGGACAATCACATGGTGTTTTGAACAGTTGTGTGCTTGACGTATGACTTAATACGTAATTATTTTTTTGAGATGAATATTTCCCCAAAAAATCAGAAATACCTTTTCGAGTAACGGAACACATACTTTTGAATTGATGAAAACAAACCTATTTAAAATGTACCATCGAAAATATGATGTACCTTGTGTTAATCTAACCAGACTTTGAACAGGTGTTTTGATGTCCATACTTTGTAGAAAGTATGAATCACAAGAATCCACACTATAATGTGAACATTTAAGGCGCATGGTTCTACACTTTTTAGTCTAATATTTAGAGAAGATGTTCCAGTATTTATTTGGATGATTGTATTAGGTCCGAACCTGATGACGCCCCTGTACTTTCAGATCGCTATAGCACTGACATATATAATAGTTACTGTTGTATTTTCTAGATAAAGCAGTATGTTAAATGACGTTATGTTACAATTTCATATGAACATTGATTCAGAAACAAATTTGTTGTGTAATAAATCCGCATTCTATAGTCCAAGTGTCAACGTAAACAGAGTAAACAATTAAAACATCACTGATCTGTATTATCGTGCAACATGATATCTACATGTAGTACATTATTAAATAATGCGGTTTTTTTACATGTAAATTAAAAATAAGTTTTTTGACATGTATTTTTGTTTACAAAATCGTGTTATTGCTCTTTTATATTGTTATTGGATCAATGGTCATGTCACCGTGAAACAAATATAACGTTTTATTGCACAGTCACTTCATATAGCCGTGGTATCCTTTTCCACATGATCAACTATTAGCAAATACATGTAAATGAAATAAGCGTGTAACATATTAATGATATTTATATTACATATATTATGTTACATACTCTGTCATTTATACTCTGACCAGGATACGTATCTAGTTATCATGTCTAAATTTACAATGTATTTACTGGTATAATGGACGCTCTGCTTATTACAATGTGTGTAAGTATTACTCGCTAGTTAGTGTTCAATGTAGAATGCATATAGTTACACTTATCCAAGACACACAGATGTATATGTCTGTTCAGACAAAGAAAAATATTGTGTAAATTTAAACACTATAATATTTATGGAACATGTAGTGTATTGTATTAGGAAATAAGCTAATACCAATTGGAGATTTCTCTCCCTAATGTTCCACATTCCTATAGGTATACACACGTACGTTTGTACAGTCTGGGTTTAAGTTTTCTCTCGAAACGGACATTGTGTAAGTACTTAGTATTTGTTTCCGAGTCGTTGTTGATTACGTATTGACAATATAATGTATTTTATATTACCTGAAATAAAAACAGTTTAAACTAAATTTCCTTTCGAGTAATTGTTTTCAGCTCCTACTTGTTTGTGCTTTTATTAGCAATATAGAATGTTCCCATTTATTTCATTTGTCACTTCAACTTTTGCAAATTATTGCCCCCCCCCTCCCCCTCCTCACCCCCGGCACCAACGTAATTCTCTGTAGGACAAATAACGGCGATGTAAGGACGTCCTATTGTATCGTTATTTATGTAAACAACACACAACATCACCAGTTATCGCACCTTGGACAAAAATGTCAAAATCCATTGGTTTAGAGCTGTCACGTGGTGACCCTCTAATTTTCTATATAGGGTCAGTAGGATTCCATTATAGGGCAATTTGTTTTTGTCCTAGCCCCGGTTATAACCGGAACAAGGACGTAAAGCCCCATCAATCAATCAATCATTATAGGGCAATATGGCCGCCCACTGCTCACCGCTTCAAAACTAAAACAACAGATACGGGGTACCTGAATATTCTGAAAATAATACAATGCTCACCGTAATTCCCATTCGCTACATTGTATCGTAAAATGATAGGAGTTGTTTCCAGGCAAAATTAGTAAGACGCTGTCCCAAGCGACCGTCTTTTGTTTAAGCGTGGGTGCCGTCCCCTTATCTAAGCGTTTCGGTGACATTGAGAGACAACAGAACAACAACATGGAGAGATTTGGGCAGACGACAACGGAAGAAATAGACAAGAAGCGACTAAACAGTCACTTTCATTTTAAGCAAAAAGGGTCCTCGATGCGATAAATTCGTTATATAATCTCCGCCCTCGCCCCCTATAAATCTTACTGACCCTCTATGGTTCTGTAGAGGGTCAGTAACTGACTATATAACTAATATTATCATTTTGGTCGTAATTCATGTATTGTAGCAAGTTCTCCCGTGTCGAAATAGACATTTTTTTTAATTCACATGTTCATTTGATATACAGTTATATATAGTTGTCCCCAATAAAAAGTCTGTCAGACAGGAGTCTCTGTTACACAGACTTTAATTCAAGTAAATATTTTTTATTTTTTTCCAGCTTCAAAATGTTGTGTAAACAACACAATCATGTTTTTTTTTTACATTTAAGTCAGGTTTAGATATACACTTGTATAATAACGAATTGTTGGTATTTTCTTTCCCACATTATATTCTTTATGCCATGCTTTTCTGCATACTCATATTTTTATAATGAATATTCCTCTTTATTTTAAACTAGAAAACTCAATTGATTTTATTCGTTCTGTATTCCTAAACAATTTTAACACTAATAAACGCAACCCAGTCAATAGACACATTTCATAATACATGTATATTATTATGACGACCATCTCGACTCGTTTCGAATGGAAGGTTTAGTTTGTTTGGTTTGTTTGTGTTTTACGTCCTATTAATAGCTATGGTCATTTAAGAACGTGCCAGGTTTTGGTGGTGGAAGAAAGCCGGAGTTCCCGGAGAAAAACCACCGACCTGCGGCAAGTACCTGGCGACTGCCCCACGTAGGTCTCGTGGTAGAGGGTCTGAAATCTGAAATTGACATCAAGAGGTTTTTCATGTCAAGTGTTGATGTCAATTTCAAGTTAAATTCAGGTAAATTCCATGTTAAATTAAGGCCAATTTTGCACCTGAAATTGACCTTTTTAGGTCAAATTGATCTAAAAATTTGCCTGGAATTGTCCTGAATTTAACCTGAAATTGACATCAAGACATTGTTTTTTCTTCTTACCTTAGTACTTTTCTAATTTAATTCATATTTACAAAAATATATATATCGTTATACTGAATGTTTTATTTGGCATGAAACACACGAATACTGTTCATAGGTTACAAGAAAAAAGGATAGCTGCTATACATGTATTTATGTCGCAAAAACATCACATTATGTTTCGCATCTCACAGACGTTCCTTTGGGTTAACACAGAATTTCACAACGGTATCCTTCCTGCACGAATCATTTGTCCGATTCCATGTGTCAACTGTTTTAATCTTCTTCAGCGAATCTTGTCGAGGTGCAGAAGAAAAATGTCTTCAAAAGGGTTCAATAATTTTGCTCTCATATCATAAAACAATGCAATGCTTTTGTTTCAGAAGTCAGATATCTCAACAACATTGCCATTTTAATCCAAGATGAAGAACTGTTTTATAACAAATAAGCGCAATATACATATATGTGCTACAAGCGTTGGTATTCATGTTGGAGGAATTGGATTTGAGAAATACTGCTGTCCAAAGTTACGATGTGCCATAGAGCTGAAGTGCTCGGCCATTCTGATCTGGTTAGAGGCCGCGTATGAGGGAAACATGAAGAGGTGGGGGTAAAGAAGACTGCTCTGGTGTTGGTAATACGCCTCGTCTGGGAAGCGTTTCACGGGTTTGAAGGGGTGACACTTCAGTCTAGCTTGCTGCAGAGAATGCCTTGAAAATGAAAGCGAAGAGTTCTGTTGTTTGGCAACTATGCTTGGGAATCGTTCTTCTAGTTTGAATCCGTCGTCTTTCACGTCTTTCACGTCTTTCTCGTCATTCTCCTCTTTAACACATTCGTCGTCTTTATCACTTTTGGCATCTGAATCTGAAACACAACAACGCACATATCAAACAAATATTTAACAGAGTCACTCAACTAACTGCTTCTCACGGATAGCTTTTGGCGACCCCCTGGTTGCCTTTTCCAGCCATTACCGAGATCAGTTGAGGAATTCAGACTAATCTGGTGATTCAGTCACGTGATCCTGGGATTACCCCCAAGTCATGTGACTGAATCAGGCTGGCATAGGCTGGCGGTAGGTGGTAGCGCCCTTGGTAATGGTTCAAGTATGGACAGGGGGCCGCAAGAACGCACCATATATATTCAATGTACTTATAGCGGATTGTTATTTTATAATATCTGTATAATTTAAACGGATATTTTACTGTTGATACAACGTATCATACATCGATATACTTCTTGCAGATACATGTTTTTAGTATTTCGACAATGTATCATGTATTAGTACACTTATAAATGATAGCAATTTTGAAAGCAATTTTATTATATACCAGTTAACTTATAACCTATAGGTAATTTTACAACAACGTTTATGTATCATTACACTTATAACGGGTAATGACTATCAAAACAACGCAACCTACTTTAATATTTCTATAACGGACAGTTATTTTTAAAAAGTCTTTTCATCAGTTCGAAACATGAATATACTTAGTGAAGCATATCATTAAACAATTTCCATTCAAATATCGCTAATCAAATTAAATATAACGTAATTTTATTTTTCATATACAGTAAATTCACAGATAACTGTTCAATCCATTGATAAAATACCGGTATATTCCGTACAATTGAAGATAACTGGTTATTTGACATTCACACTGTATAACCCATTTGCCGTACAGATTCGATTATCCCTAATTATGCTGAGAATATTTTATAGCATGTCACAAGGTGTGCTACATTTTCTTTTTTACTTTTTCGACTTGTCGCAATGCAAATACACAAGAATTGTTACTTTTTCGAATGAGAGTATAGTTATTGTAAATGGTGAAATCCATTCATATTTGATCAGTGAAAAAACATACAAATTTCATTAGCAAAAAGTAAAAAAAAAGAGTATGAAGAATGGTTCTAAGAGGGTATTAAAGTGTGGTAAGACTTGTGTGGTAGGATTTGTGAGTAGTGAAGTGTGGTAAAACTTGTGTGGTAGGATTTGTGGGGTAGGATTTATAAATAGTTAAGTTTGGTAAGACTTGTTTGGTAGGATTTGTGTGGTAGTAAAGTGTGGTAACATATGTGTGGTAGGATTTGTAAGTAGTTAAGTTTGGTAAGACTTGTGTGGTAGGATTTATAAATAGTTAAGTCTGGTAAGACTTGTTTGGTAGGATTTGTGATGTAGTAAAGTGTGGTAACATTTGTGTGGTAGGATGTGTTAGTAGTTAAGTTTGGTAAGACTTGTGTGGTAGGCTTTGTGTGGTAGGATTTGTGAATAGTAAAGTTTGGTAAGACTTGTTTTATATCATTTGTGAATAGTAAAGTTTAGTTAGACTTGTTTTATATGATTTGTGAATAGGAAAGTATGGTAAGTTGTGTGTGGTAGGATTTGTGAGCAGTAAAGCGTGGTAAAACTTGTGTGCTAGGAGTTTTGAGAAGTAAAATGTGGCTAGACTTGTGTAGTAGAATTTATTGGTAGTAAAGTGTGGCAAGGCGTTTGTGGTAGAATTTTGTTAATAGTAAAGTGGGATTAGACGTGTGGTAGCTTTGGTGAGTATTTAGGTGTGGTAAGACTTATGAGTAGTTAGACATGGTAGGACTTGGCATGAACCCACGGGCTACTAAAAATAGAGACATAAATGATACCGTTCATTCGTAGTAGCCGAAAAATGATAAAGAATTTTAATATAAAAAAGGTTCAAAATTAAAATGTTCATACAATTTTAAATGTTAATCCGTGATATATTTCCTAGATCTATGATAACAGCGTATCCAAACAAGCTAGAACATATATCATCGGAATACATTCTACAAGGCTTACAGTATTTGAATTAGTTTTAAAACTAGTCTGTTGCATATCCTAATTAAATTTAAAACGTGATCTATAATACAAAGTTTACACGGATGGTAAGACGTAAATAACGCCAATTTCATCACTTAATTAAACGAGACGAGTCATAAATATTCGTATATTTACTTATCTGGTATTCTGCATATTTCTTCCTAGGCCTATATAGCTATATATAGATTACAAATAGATTGATGATAGCGTGTAAATCTGAGAACGTCTTAAACTCGTGAATGACAAAATATGTATGTTAAAAGGGAAAAAAATCGAGAATATTATTTCAGACATATATTTATTGGACCCTGAAATTAATATTTAATTTGCAAGCTTTTCATAATCTCACAAAGATCCTATCTGTTTAACGAGTGTGGACTCATACTTATTTCACTTAAACAACATTTATTTAGGAAATAGATTAAACTGGATATATATACAAATATAAAAGATTAAAGACGGATCCTACATCTTATGCACATTCTTTTGTCCTAACATACACAATCGATGGCGATTATGTTACGCATGAAATAATTAAACCTGTGTATCATGCTATTGCCATGCTTTGACGTGTTTAAACATACCTCACACAGGTTTTTAAACGCGTCAGTATTGGTTTCATGTTAAATCTAACAGCGTCAAATTATTTTTGAATTTCCATGATTTTATACTGTGTCTTTTCCCCATCAATAGATGACAGTCAGCTTATCATAATGCCTTATCATAATTGGGTTAATAGGCGACGTTCTATCTTATATCCATGTTACATGTATATACCAAAAACCTAAATTACACACTACACCACACTAGATACCAACAATTAATAATGCAGAGGACCAATCAGTCACAAAAAGGGTTATACATGTAGTTTGACGTTGTGACGTCAGAAATCCTATTGACCCAGATTTTCTCTCTCACACGGGTAGACCACATACCATGTCACATTGGTTATTTATTTTATACCATGGGAGCAAGACAAAAAAAAATACAGGGGTATTTGTATGACATAATCTATACAATAACCACAAATCTAACTATCACACCTTACAATATTGACGTGCTATTATGACGTTATTATCTGAGAAGTGTCGAATGTTGTATTCTTTTATCACACAAACAGCTTACATAAATCCGTGACCTATACATCTGATACATTTCAACTATGTGTAATAATTTCGGTTTATTAAAAATCCTGTGAAGGGGATGTTTTATGTTAAGTGACTACACAAGCTAGAAAGCAATGATGTTTTGTTCGTCTGATAAATGCTCTCATACTTTCCCCTGCACCATAGGTATTGGTAAGTTAGCTGTTATATCTGATATAAATAAATATGTGTAATCAAAGCACAGTCCCTCCCTTTTAAAAAGTTATCGTTTTAAGGTGGTGACACGAAAAGAAAACCTACCCGTTGTACGTTTATTATCTGTTGTCGATGTTTCCGATGAATTATCAGCAGTATCAATTTGTTCAACCAGTTTTGGATACGACAATCCGGGCACTGTCATAGGAAATGATGTATACCCAGGTGGCGGTACCATCATGGGCAATGTCTGACACTGTGAACCGGAAGAGGACAGTTGTTCCATTGCGACTTCCTGTTGGTACAAAAAGTTGGCAGTCATGGTCCCTGCGTTTCTGAGAATTCGATTTATGGAGCTGACACTAGGAATTGTATGTTCATCACAGACTCCAAGAGCCATCAATTGGTCCCTTATCTCCCATGCAAAACTGGCAGGGTTTTGTCTCTTTAGATCCAAAATTTTCTTTATCACGTAGGGGGTTGCAACTTGCTGGAGAAAGAAACCAAAATTTTGTAAAAGAAATAAAAAATAAAATAAAAAAAAAGTTTTTTCCAAATTTGGAATGACAAACCAAACTGAAATGAGGAAAGCAGCTGCTTCAAAAACAAAAGAAATAAAAGGAAATCATAAAAATAAAGAAAGACCTTGTACTAGGGGACCAGACACTGATTTGTCAAATAATGTTTTGTACTGGAGAAATAGCTAAAATCAACAGAATTTTAAAGAAGTTGTTTAAATGAGATAATTCGTTCCTTTTTGTTCTTATTTCGAGGGTTGAAGGGATAGCTTATGAATATAAAGTAACTATCAAAACAAATACTTGTGCATTCATCTCTTAAAATAATAATACAAGCTTTCAAACTTTAAATCATTGTAAGAGAATGGCGCAGATATCCCCTATTTATCTACTTCATGTTGGATAAATACCTTTGGCTTACTTCCGCCTATAGAACCTGGCTTGATGGAGCCTGTTTCGTAATATCTGGTGAGGATTTTGCTGACACATCCGTGAGAAACTAGAAGCTGTCTTGAAATATCACAAGGCCTTACTCCCATGTGCGCAAGCTCCACAATCCTCCGTCGGACCTGATCTGGAAGTGGTCGGCCATTTACAAATACACCTCCCAGCTGGTTCACACCGGTCTGACCTGTTCAGCAAAATTACATATAAAATAGCGTCAACGGGACATAGTAAACACGCAGACCATCAAATTCAACACAGGAATATTTTTAGAATCTTTAAAATCTTACTTAAAAGATTATCATAAACCCAACAAAACGGAGATAAAACGTGGTGTTCATAAAACAAGGTGTTCCAGATCACAAGAGACAGCATGACAACCTTATTCACTAATCTCAACATAACAGTCCTATCAATGGTCAACATGCGTTATAATGTGTGTGAGACTTGTCATTAGGTCCTCACCACTAAGCTCATATTTGGAACGTTTATTTCATTTTTAGCAAATATGTATTTAAATATAAAAAAATGTTACCACAGTATTGATTCAATTAACAAAACAGCTGAATGGATTTGTTGTATTAATCTCTGTGGACATTCGAAAGCTAACTCTCTTTCGGCTGCAATTTCTATGGTAGGGTCGATACATCGATATCTTTTGACAATAAGTAGACGCATACTGGTAAATACTTTTAGTAAAAGACATATTGTCACGTTTGTTATATGAATCAGCCTGAAGATAAATATCCAAAAGAAGCTTATTGTTTTCTTTTGAAAATTAAATGTATACTTTTGCGAATCAATTGTAACGTAAAGCGAATATTTATATGAGCAGAATCCTTTTCTTCCTACTGTATCAGGCTAATGAGTTACATACTATTTACACTCCAAAACGCATTTTGCGTAAATATGAACGAGAACTACTTTTGATTGGTGTTTATAGAACGTGGTTATGATTGTTTTCAGACCACAATGATACTCCCATTAGCTTCCTGCATATTCAACACGGAATGCACCGGGAAACTTATCTAATGCAGACTGTATCCCGTGAAATGTACGAATTTGTATAGACTCTTGTGTAATTTAATGGCAACTTTTTCTTTTGATACAAATGTGCTTCATCATGTTGAGATAGATTTATAACCCTTTAAGCACCTAGTCAACTGGCAACGTGGAGTATTTCAGTACTAATCGCTAAATGTAGCTAAGTTATGGGACTTAAGTAAGCTAGTTGTATAGCTGTCCATCGTAAACGGTAACTTTACCCAGAAGACTAGGGTGGGCTCACGTCATATGACCAAATAACCTGTCTAGCGGTATACAAGTGTAACATTTCTGAGGGAAATCGGGGCTCGATTTGATATAAGTCTACTCCCACTTAAAATCTTTATATTGCCGGTGTTACATTTGTTGTTTATAATTTTTTGCGTGTAAAAATTATCTGCTTTTGAAAAACAATAATAGACTGAGAATAAGTATGGGCAAAGAAATAAAAGTGCATTAAGCTTAGTATAGTCATACAACACGTGTGCCGCGTAGATGTATGAACACGCCACTGGTAAATCAACATATTACTCATAATTTCAGAACATTCTGAAATGATTTCTCTTCAGGTTAAGACAAACTATAATCAGAAGACGTATCGTGAACAACAAACACAAAAATAAACATTCGTCAAATTGTTGTCAAATAATGAAGAACTAAACATTATGTACTTCAGCGTCACCATACAAGTACAAAATATACCACAGCGTCAACACACCAGGACAGAATATACCATAGCGTTGTTACACAAGAATAAAATATACCACAGCGTTACTAAACAAGAACAACGATCATCGCATTGAAGTCGTGACGTTCTTCATCGAGATATGTAGAGAAATGACTATTATTTCTTTATTGAAAGCAACTTTAATATGACATGGTGTGATTTGTTCTACAATAAATTTAAGGCGCACGAGGATAGATATGGTAAAACTATTCTCGAAATCCTATTTATTCACCGACAAGACATCCTCATTATACCTTGATGTACAACTAAAGGACCAGCCAAACCGCAATACAATCCATCAATATCAAAAAGATATTCAAGAGAAGGCAATTGTTTTTATTAAAATGACAAGTAAGTTTGTAAATAACCTATATTACATGTACATGAATGTAATTTTCCTGACTCGGTTTGAAATTTTAGCGATTTTTTCTTTTAAAAGATGCTCTTAATTGACCAATCAAATGCAATCATATCAATTATGTTGAAATATAATTATCAAAAGCTCCTTTGGCGTTTCTTAGTGATAGGTTTAACGGTAAACAGAGACGGAGACACAAGCTAGCGCATTATTCCATCGATCGTTCAATCCATATTCGCGCTGTGTGATCAGAATTTGTTACGAGAAAAACAGGATTAACGGCCCTTTAATTTCACAGCAGTAGACACTATAAAATGTGAATTGCCATACGTAATTATCGTTTTTCAAAAGTATGTATGTGTGGAAATTACTGAAATGTTTCACTTAAGTGAAACATCAAACTGATTTATGACAACAAAGTAATTTCTCAATGTTAACTTTCTCATTTTGTTGATTTTTTTGGAAGAAGACAAATTAGTAGTTGAAATGGTTTTAAATATTCCTGCATTGATTCGCGGCATTTCTGTGTAATTTTATTAGCAATTTATGCTACCTGTGGATAATTTACAGATGATTGGAAAGATTTCACATAAACATACACCAAATATTTTCTAAAATTATTGCACTTTTAATTCACAAATTTGTTTTATTTCTGTTTTTGTCAAAGGTAATATTTAAATAAAATTTGAGACGTACTTCAAAGGATAAAATTATCATAAGATTGTGGTTTTGTTATGGTAGAGGGACCTTTTATCTGCCGCAACGTTCCACAGCAAGAGCAGTTTATAAGAAGTCTTTTGAAAATTCGAAACATTCTTTTGTATATCTGTTTTACACGGTGCATCCTGACTTCCATAAAAAGTTGCATTGTTAAAATTCATCAATTTAGATCTAAATCAGATTTTCAGAATATAAATAATTTTCCTTTTAATATAGGCGCTACAAAATACACTGTATTGTTCAAAGCAAGCGTTACACTGATAAAACGGGTCATCGATCAAAGCCGCTTCGCTTGGTGGAACTTAACACAACACCATAGGTATATAACCAGGTATAAATCTCAACAGACCACATTTAAAGAAATTTTACGATTTCAATCTAATTTTTGCTAATTTATTTATAGAAAGTGAACGCTTTAACGATGAGCAATTTGATGAGTGAAACGCTGTATCACAAGTTCATAATTTCCAGTAAAATCTGTATCTTCGTGCAATTACGTTTGCATTTTTTTCTGTTACTATGTTATAATCTTTTTCTTGTGAATAGATTGTAGAGAACACCAATAGCTTTCCACCTCAAAGGATTACAGAAATGATTTTGTCAGAGATCAGATGGCTAAAAAGCAAATTAAGACGTGGATACAACTTAAGATATGGGCATTTAAAAAAAGCTGCTACGCTTTTACAGATCAAGTGCATCACCATTAAAACTATGTTTTAAAAGGTGCAAGATGAAGATAAGCTAACACAAAATTATTATTAAACGACAATCGTTATACCTGTTGGTAAGCGCAAGGTGCGTCAACACTAAAATTTTATAGCAAACTGTTATCGGGGTTTTTTAGTTACCAAGTAGAGTCGCAAGATTAAGCACTGGTACAAAGTTCGGAAGCAGATGAAGCTCAGAGACACGTCTATATATCAAGAGCACATGTACAGTGGGATTTCAATATTGTAGAATTAAAAAGTAATATTAGAGAAGGTTTTGAAAGAATACTAATAAACAATCTTTTAAGAAAATGTACAATCATTTTAATTGTAAATAACGCTATGAGTTGCTTTTATCAAATATGTTTTTCGTTGAGAGCATAGTTTGATTCCGGGTTATACTTCCAATTATTTTATTTATTTAAATAAATAACAATTATATTCTATCTATAGAGTCTACAGAATTTTAAGTATGATATATACTTTCTCTTCTAGATAGTGTGGGAGATAAAACAACAACTTGTTGTTAACTGTCTTTTATTATCCTTGGCATAAATGATAAGACACATTGGTTAAATCATTCTTTCCTAATTTTCCAAAATCTTGTAACGGTGTCGACCAAAACTCGAAATATTTAACCAGGAAAAATGCCATATCTTCGAAGACAGTACAAAATGACAAAGTAAGGACCCAAGTCAAAGGAAAGACAAATTAAACGTGTATAGTTGTGTTTTTATCAAGTCCTTTTGAGTGCATTCCTAGATAAAGAATGTTATAGGATTAGCATTAGTTTATGTAAACAATGAATGTTTTACCAAGCAAAGGTTGTTATGGTCCTATAACACACACTGCAATGATGACAAACTTAATAAAGCCCGGTAATGTAAGTTTGTCAGCAATAGAGTTGTGTGTTATAGGACCATAACACTATTTGCTTAAATATTCATTATCTATATTTACATTTTGATAGAGTAGTTATGCTTTACTTTCAACAGACATTGATGACGTTACAACAGACATTGATGACGTTACAACAGACATTGATGACGTTACAACAGCAAATGTTATTAATGTCTCATTCTCAATGCATTACAATGGAAGGATGCATAGTAAATGTAAATATATATATATATTTATATAACCTTCATTTATTTTACAACAATTACGAATTAATTTTCCAGACTACATTATTCACTCTTGTTGGCCAAGGTTGAATAGAAATAAAGCAAGAAAGTGTTTTCTTAGTTTGTTGTTTCAGTACTCATTCATTTTTTAAGCAACCGAAATATTCAAATTAATAAATGACATAAAATTTAAAAAAAATAGCAGTTGAAAGTATTTAGCTCGACACACAATTCTTTTAGATAACGCTGATCCTATATCCCATTAAAGCGCCCGCCAAAATTCATTTCCACCTTTGTCTTCACCACATGACGTTGATACGCACGCGCGAGTTATTAATATCATATGAAGCAGATTCGGTGAAATATTTGGCGACAAAACGGTCGTTTAACACATATTTATATTTCTATAATTGAGATAATTTTCTGATTGTGAAAAGCGTATAAATTTGTAAATTGTCTGCAATTCATGCTAGAATTCTATGTGATTAAAGTTCTCCGCTAGTACTGTCACGGGAAGGGACGCAACATGGCTTGTGTGTATGAAGGTAACCATGCACAGCGCTGATCAAAGGGTTGTCCTGTCAGAATGAAGCGGCTCATTTGAGCGAAAAATATCTCAATCATACCCGTATGTGGCATTGCTGAACTTGGGGCTCTTTTTCTTCCCTCCGACGACGTCTGTGCAATTCGTTATTTACAGCAGTCCGCTAACAATGATCTGAAATAATAAACGACAATAATATGTTTTTTTTCAATGAAGATAATTATTCATTATTGAACACCTCCCATCAATGGCTTTTCTGAAAATGAACATTACAATGAAGGAGAACGTTCTCACACGGGATGAGCAAATACATTTAATACCACAGTGGTGCGTCATGTAACCCGTCCTGCGTAGTGTCAAAATGTAGAGCTTTTCATGTTAAGAATACGAATAAAAAAAATATAAATTTATGATATCATTAAATAAAATTATATGAAATAATCGGAAGGGAAGCCGACAATGGGGCGATTTCATTCATATATCTACTTTGATTCGTGATGATTCAATAAATTTATCCCTATTAAATAAAGATTTTATTTACAATATCTTTATTCTAGATTTTCAATGTACCAAACTGCATTTTATTGCAATGAGTAAGGGTCGCTTGTTGCTTATTATAATTTAGACACAAAACTACAGGATATTGTCATTTCCCCTAAAATATATCCTTATTATCGCAGTAATGGGGATGCATGCTTCAGCATTACCATAAAAAGACTCAAGAAACGGAATGCTCCATTTATGTATATATTTTGTATATTAAAGTAGTACCTACAATTTTTTGAAATGCAATTATAATCATGGACAATTAAATATATTTCTAGTCAGAATGGGGTTAAGAATGTAACAACACATTCCATTTTTTATTCAAAGTTTTTCGTTTTAAAGTATAAAATGTTGTGAAAGAATTGACACCCACATTGTGCATATGATACTGCTAAATCCTTAAATCAGTATATAACTTTGTTACTCAAGTATTCTATCTTTATTCAGTTATCCAGATATACAAAGTGCTTGCTATTTTAAATTTCAGTTTAAGTAGATTTAATGTTTGGGTTAACTATCTGACAGTTAGACGGCATTGTTTGATGCCGGCACTATTCTCGATTTATGAGTAGATATTCTTTGATTAACATACAGAATTGATGAAAACGCTTCATTAGCATGCGCGGTAATTACCGAATGCAGACGAATAATCGGCAATCTCTTAAATCTTACATGTGCATGACATGTCATTAAGTTAGGAACACATCTAATTACACCGCACATGCACATTCCATCCAATGAAGCTGAGATAGTCAGTGTGACCCACAAACTCACTGAAGTTTTTTCTTAACTATTAGCTATTCGCGTCTATTTAAATTATGATCTAATTCATATTATTTAGTTCGTCATATATTATCAAAAAGGGATTGAAATATACTATCTAGATTTTAAACAATTGGTTTAGGTATGCTCAAGGTATTATTTGAAATAACTTCATTTATGATATAATTTTTCAATACTAAGAGTAAATGATTCAGTTCTGTGTGTAAATTATAATTTTATCCCCGCGACAATAATTTTGTGTTATTATCAAAATTGAGAACAATCATACCACATATAGAAGCAAAACATCAAGGCGTCATTAATTCAATAATTTACCTATCACGTGATTTTCTTTTTAAAATCATGTACCTTTCTTTTCTTTAAATGAAACATTTCGTTTTCTATCTAATATCATTTTCCATATTTTGTAAAGATTTTATGAATAAAAACCAATTAGTAGTTAAAATCATGTGGTATCGTCATACAGAACAAACACCCGTGGGAATGGGTTGTAGCAGCTATTATCCGGTTTCACTTCGTAGACCTGTAAGGCAATCGCTGTACCTTATTAGCATTATAAATGCAATATAGTTTAATTATTTAGAAGCGCGTTTGTCATTTTACATCATCTATTTATGGCATTAAGCATTTTTTTGATGACATGTTATTTTATGAGCGCAATCAGAGCTACATTTTTGTAAACATTTTTGTTTGCTTTACAGACCTACATTTGTAAGAAATGATTGATAAACTACACCCATCATTTCAACTCAATTCTATTGTTGATGACATGCTTGAGAAAATGTCCATTTTCTTTTAGATGCGAATGTTATATGGGAAAAAATCATAAATAGATAAAAGGTGATTTCGTTTCTTTCTGTGCAAATCATTCGTATTGAAGAAAGTGTTAGCGTATACCTCGAATGTACCATATGTCAGTTTTCGTTCTACCTGCTACAAATCTTCGTAACATAGTAGTATGTTCATACATTTTAGGTTGACATTTATCGTGAGTGCTACTGGTTATAAATGCTATTGAACACTAACCACTACACAGATCAGTATCAAAGGTAGATTATCGAAACTTGTATATTTAATTCAACATAACCAATTGTGGGTTTGGTGAATCCCGCCTGTATTATAGAAAACCACAACTATGTTGATCAGTGTCAAATGTTCTATCACGTTAGTGCTGTAAATCATATGTACGTTGGAGAAATATAGTAAATAGTATTTGCGTTAGAGTTAAGTAGATACTTGCGATTTAAGGTAAAAAGACAGAGTGATATTTTCCTTTGTAGTTTTGTAATATTCCGATAATACAAACTTGAAGAAAATGTTTCAAAGTATTAATTGTAATTAATTCATTTTCTCAAATCTTTTACATTTGTGTGACTCCAAAAATGGTATTTTAATATTAGTTCTGATTTTATTTATAATTCCTGAATATACCACAGAGGAAATAAAGCAGTCACTCCGTATGTATACATTAATGTATCACAGAGTAACAGCAGTCAGTGTATTTAAAAGTTTGCATTGTCATATGACGTATGTTCCGATCTCATTCTTAAAGTACACAAAAATACCTAAATTCAGCGATAACAAAACCAAAATGGAGGAAAGGGTAGAATTCGAATGTTTCTAAACTTGTAGATTGTACACAATATTGAAGCAGAAAATAGCATTAAAAGTAGACTTCAAAGCTACAAATGTTTTAATAGAGAAAACCTGATCTAATATAAAAAGAATGTTCTTTTCTGGTTAAACAGTGATGTCTTGTATAGTTTTATTTTACAGTATTTTGTGACTGTTATCCTACGCTATGACTTTCGCATTCGATTTCGTATTAACATTGGTGATGTCCAAGGATTTAATGACAATGTAGACGGTACGCCCTAATCATCGAATTCCTGATTGATTTTGAGAATAACTATATTTTAAAACTAATCTGATTCAAACAAAACTGTAGTCTCAAAAACCATTTCCTGATATTATTCAGATTATATGTATACGTATACATTCATGCATGCATAATTATCATAATTCTTTAGCTAATTAAAATAACTGCATGGATCTTCTTCTCCTTTGGGCGAACAAGACAATAAAACAAAGGACTTAAAATCGACGAAATAGCAATATGATTGTGTACCCTCTACGAATGATTTAGTTACTTTTAACTGACACTAAATAAAGGTAAATCTCAAACATCAAAAGCAGCAGTGAAATTTAGGAATTGAAGTAAATATGTATTAACATCTATACACAGTCAAGGGATTGTTGTAAATATGTATTAAGATCTATCTAGAGTCTAGGTATTGAAGCAAATATGCATTAAGATGTTAACCGTATGGATTGTAGTAAATATATATTAAGATCTAAACTTAATGGATCATTATAATATGTATTAAGATATAAACTTTAGGGATTGTAGTAAATATGTATTAAGATTTACCAGTAATATAAGAAAGAAAATATCAGAAGTATTGTCAGCATATTAACGCATGAACTTCATTAAATATCTTATATCTTAATAGATGATGATAATTTAATTACTCGTAAGAAATGGTATAAGATTCAACATTAAAGCTGAATAATATATTCGTAAGCATTTCAACACGCTGGTGTATTGATCCGTGTTTCGTTTTAAAATGTGTAAACGTTATTTTAGCAATTTATCAAGGAAAATTATAAAAATATATTTGAAAGTGAATGATTACTTCATAGCCAGAATATGTTCTGTCTGTCCGTGAATGACCCTAGAAAATATATATTAAACAACCGTACTTGTGAATGGATCCCAAAGTGAATAATTTACAAACAAGTGCGAAATCTACAATAATGGAATATAAAGTACCTGTATTTGCAATAAAAGGAAATTATTTTCCTCAGTCAAATATATTTAATATCTATAATTTCCTCTGGTGACGTTATCAGTAGAATACTATCATATTACACTCAAAGACGGAGAGGCTTTTACGGAGATTTCACGGGTTTCTTCTTAACATTTCTATTTGAGAAAAGAATATGTTTAGTCTCACTATCTCGGTACGCAAAGGAAGTGGGCACAAATGTATTCTTTATAAAAGACATCATATAAATCTTTATCTAATATTTTCTTTATACAGTTTCGATTGAAGTGTAAAATTGTACTTGTAGGTATGTCTGTATCATATCGTAAAAAGTTAATTTGACAAATTGACTGACAATATACACTATAACGCACTCTTTCCCTTCAAAAAGACCGACGGACGGTTTTCTATTTTATCTTTAGCTTTCATTTATGTGTTAGATGAGTAAAGTATTTATCAGAACTGAATGCATTTATTGAATGTTTAAGGAACCCATAAATAGTTACGGTACGTTAATATAGTGTATACTAGTTAGGATAAACTGTTATGGCAAAGATTTAAGGTCATGTATCAGTATCAAATACAACTATTCAAACACATGCACATGTCTGTGTAGCAGAGACCTAATCCGATGTTTTAATTATATTTCCTAACAAAATACAAAATTTTAAATTATCTTACAAATTTTAAATCATGATTAATGTTATAATAAAATGTTTTATTCACTTATTCTATGACCACTCGTCATCTACTCTCTTATTTATTTTTAGTTGATGGAATATAATTTAGCTTATGGGGACTGATGTAGTTTATGGAGAAAAGAGAGTTTTAATGGTTTAATATCTATTTAATATGGAGTTAATATCGTATTACAAATCAGTTGACAATTTTCACATCAAATTTCATTAAATCAAATTAAACTTTTGAAATAATCATACAAACATCGACAGAATGACAAAGGAAGACAGGACAAAGTACACAATAAAAGTCAATATGTAAATCAGAAAGTTAGGAAGTGATATAAGCAAGTCAATAGCTAAGCAATAGAGGTTAGTACATTATTTAGTTAGTCAATAAATAAGCAAGAAAAGTTAATAAAAATGTTAGTAAGTCAATAAATTTGTATGTTAGCATGTTAATAAGTTAGCAGGTTAATATATAAGCGAGTTAATGTGTTCCTTAGTTAATACACAAATAAGTTAATGTGATCCTAAGTTGATATATTAATAAGTTTATGTGTTCCTAAGTTAATATATTGAAACTTTAATGTGTTCCTAAGTTAATATATTGATACTTTAACGTGTTCCTAAGTTAACATATTGATACTTTAACGTGTTCCTAAGTTAATATATTGATACTTTAACGAGTTCCTAAGTTAATATATTGATACTTTAACGTGTTCCTAAGTTAATATATAAATAAGTTGATGTGTTCCTAAGCTATATATAATATATCAGTAAGTTAATATGTTATAAGTTAGTAAGTCAATAGTTTAAAAAGTGATTGGTTGCTAATATCAGATAGTTGAAGTAAGGTCCTAATAGTTTTGCCGTTTCATTATCTATTAACTTCACGTAGTATTTAACAGTAAATTATTTCAGGTTTGCTCACTTTCGTTATATCATATCCATATAAAACTACATTCGTAACGTTACCGAAATTCAACAAAACTATGTTTCTTATTCTTATTCTTTTACGTATGATATATTAATTATAAACACTTAAAATCGCAAAATCAAAATGTAAATGTAGCCTCTAAATCAAATATCATCCCTTTTAAGTAAGATAAGGTTTGAATATAAAACTGCTAATACTTAAAGAGCATTATCAATGAAATGTATTTGTTACTGCTTAATTTCAAATAAGATATATGATAATTGATCATATCTAAAATGTAAACATGTTTATAAAATTGACTAATAAAAATTAAAGAAATTAAATGTAAATCTAATTTGTTAATGATATAATTATTGCATGCTATAGATTAATAAGTGCTACTTGTACATGTATGTATGAAATCTTTGTAAATGTTTATTTCTTATTTAAAATATTTATGTTTGATATTATTTGATCAGGCGAATTTTTCACATAAGAAAAATAATCAATATCTTATGATACTGCTTTTCATTAATTAATTTGTGTTAAAAAATCAAAAGTCATAAGATTATGGATTAAAATATTGTTATCATAGCAAACATGGTAAAATTGAACGTTAAGAAGAATTGTTCGATTGATGATACAAAATTATTTACTAAATTCATTAATATGATTAAGATGTAAAATGTGAATGAGGTATGGTGAAATGTACATTACCTGTCGGTGTGACCAGAGGTGTGATGTGCTCCTCGTGTGCTTGCCGCGCCACTCCGCTTTGCCTATATCGGTCACGGTACACTGTTTATCAACCTACCGTGACAATGCGCGTGGCTGTTACAAATATCACCTGCCCTTCGTGCAATTAGCACTTTTTATCCAATCAAATCTTAGCTCTCTAATCATCGCTACATCCGTTTCCAGATGAAACACTTATATTTAAGAATCCGAGTTTATAAATATTTTACATCATATCCTCGCGCTATTCCGTATAAACCTTGTATTCGGAAAGATCGGAATGGTTAAATTAATGATTTATTGAGTAGAGGCAGCTGTTCGGAGATGAGAAACATTCAATTTTACAAGTATAATCCACTGTCCGATAAAACAGCGCTGCAGCCCACTCTGCGGGAGAATTAAAGGCATGAAAATGACACATTCTTTCATTTTCGTCTACGTTTTGCTCCTTGGTTCGGAAATTGGATCCAATAGCCTGGGGTTATTCTCAGCCGTACACGACAGTATTGTTATAGGTAATACAGCGCTGTTAAATTGTCCGCAACGATACCGCGGGTATATCAGAGTCATAATGGGCTCGTCAGTGCCTGTAACATGCTTTTGATTAGGGACATAACATGGTATAGGGATAGCCAACAATGATCACATTTTATGAACTTAGTATTGATTTGATTATGGACTATATGTATGCATTTCAATTTAAGCTTAATAGAGTAATAGGGTTTCAACATCTGCTATCATCTGTCGTATTGTTTCCTAAGATTTCCGAACACTTTGCCGACAAGACATCAACGGACGATAAAGAGCTGTCTGCCTAGAAGTATATTGTATCTATATAGACTTCTCTAAGGCCGCTCGTGTTTGATAAGCAACGCACGCGAACCACTGTTATATTGCCTACATTGCGGTTGTTAGGATGACGGACAGCCACGGGACACATGCACGAACAACCTTTCACTGGACGTTAAGGAACTGTGCTACATAACCACTGATCTTATGGTTTCAGATCTATCTGTAATCAGAGTTAACAGTTATCAACAAACATTCGTTCAATGTTTCACTGTTGGTCTTCCGTCATCACAATGGAAACAAGTTATAATTACATAATTAGCATTCACATGAAACATATGTAAGCTGCCTTGAAGTATTTTTGAAATATTTTCTAAATCATCCAGTTTCAAAACATACGTGTTTTTCGTCGATTTCAAATAATATCCATTAAAAGACAAAAATAAGCAAATTAATGATAAGAGTTTAAAAGAAGTTTAATAAAATCTTAGATAAGGGTCACCGTAATATGGAAATCATTAAAATGAAATTATCAACATTTAATTAGTAAAACATAACCAATAATGGGGATTTCCAGAGAGAAGTAAATGAATTCATTAGGAACACGTGAACACATTATCAATTGTTTTTAAGAATGATTTTTGTTAATAGGAATACATTAGTCATATTCCGCCTGGCGGAAACTTGGTATAATGCCAACTAACTAACCTAAAGAGGGCTAGCTTCTCATCAGATTTCCATAAATTGTATGCCTTATGTATGTTACTGCTGTGTCGTAATTTTAGTTACTGAAATCATGCCTGTGCATTCAGGCTGAAAGTAATAATACATAGCAAAATAAGAGTAATAAAATGAATCTCGCATTACATAAACGACATTTAATTTTATTTTGAGACATGTTAATATCATCCCGATAAGTGATATTAATGACAGTAATTATTGGCAAGCAATGGATTTAATTCGTCTGGAAAAAAATACAGAAGTATTTGGGTAAGACTGTTTGTATATTAATTAGGACTGGCACAGGTATCAGATGAATAAGTTTTATATTGTAGATCAAAATCATGAACGACAGAGATAGTGCAGTACTCCCGGGTGTGTTCCACTGATACTAACAGAACAGATACAGAATTATGATTGGGAGGCCACAGTGAGCGATCCATATGGTAACAAAGACGATCTATCATAGGGTTGTCACAGGCCGTCAAGAGGTGCTGAGTTTGTCCAATGGTTAACTGACGCTCTTTGTACCACACAATAGATCGAATTTAATTGTTTTCTTGTTATTTTTATCAAATTTCCTCAGTTTTGACATTTTTTTTTATCCATTTTACTCCCAAAAATGTAAAACAAACAATATTTTAAAACCATCATTTAATGAAAACCGATGAACGACTATTGAAACTTACTATGAGTACTGCTGTTTTAGGCTCCGTACGGTCATCACACGTACATATGACTAATCTTTTAGAAATAACACTTCTTAGACTGGACGTCTTGGGATTACAAATGACCACTGTGATATAATAAAATTGTGACTATATAAATGTAAATGTAATTTTCTTTTTGTTTTACATTTTAAACGTCGGGTTTTTGGTAAGATTTTTGAATGATATCCTATGCAGGAATCATGTATTTAATTTGTGTGTAAACTGTAGAGCAAACACGATCCATTTGAAAAGATGTTCGTGAAAAGATTGTAAATGTTTTCATTTTACTTTGTGTAATCGATGATTGACATTTAAGCTGTTTTGGTGAATTTTATTAAATAGAACAATTTTGAGTGAAATTCTTTTTATTTCAAACCTTTTTTTTAATATACATTCGAACATGTGACAATATGTTCTATGCACATGTATATTAAACTTTTAATGAAAATATCATGTAAGCTTCCAATAGAATCAAGGACATAAAGTGATTTCAATTTCACATTAGAGTTTTAGGAAAGGTGACAGAACTTCTATTTATTTAATGAACTTATCTATGGTTATAACCACTTATGGGTGTTGCTTGTAAACAGGTCTGGAATATCATCTTTTTCGTCCTTTCACATACTATCACACTCGAAGCACGTAAATAGCAACCAGAACAAATCTAACTTTCTCATGTTGCACGTTTGACCTTAGCCAGTGTACTACAGGGTTGCACGTTTGACCTTAGCCAGTGTACTACAGGGTTGCACACTTTGTGATACGATAGTTTACTCTCTACTTACTGGTATATGTATTACTGCTAAATCGTAGCATAAATCATCTTGAAGATTGCTGCTTGCATCACAACTGAAATTGACAATATTTACAATGAACATTTCTTACTCTTGAGAATTACTATACCATACGTACACATCACGTGTCGACCTTTAACCTTTCATACGTCAATTGTTTGTAAGTCATTCTGTCAAACTTGATAACATTTTTATGCTTCAATGTAGTGCCTCAAGCTTGATTTTATTGATGTATTATAATATAAAACCATTTGTATGTTAGGAAAAAAGCCATGGAATGAAAGAGAAGTGTTTGGAATTCAATAATATATCTTTACAATTTGATATTGGCGTAACTATACGGAAAAGCATTAGGTCATCTAGAAAATAATTAAATTTCTGTATTTTTCGTGTTCATAGTAAAAATGTGACTATATAAATGTAAACAGACATTTTGTTTTGTTTTATCTTTTAAACGTCGGTTTGTTGGTAAGGGTATTATATACAGACCTTTTTGACTGATATCCTATGCAGGAATCATGTATTTAATTTGTGTGTAAACTGTAGAGTAAACACGATCCATTTGAAAAGATGTTCGTGAAAAGATTGTAAATGCTTTCATTTTACATTGTGTAATCGGTGATTGACATTTAAGCTGTTTTGGTGAGTTTTATAAAATAGAACAATTTTGATTGAAATTCTTTTTATTTCAAACCTTTGTCGTAAGTTCATTACAATTTTTTTCAATATCGATTCGAACAAGTGGCAATTTGTTCTATGTACAAGTATATTAAACTTTTCATGAAAATATCATGTAAGCTTCCAAAAGAATAAAGGACATAAAGTGATTTCAATTTCACATTAGAGTTTAGGAAAGGTGACAGAACTTCTATTTATTTAATGCATTATCTATGGTTATAACCATTATTGGGTGTTGCTTGTTAACAGGTCTAGAATATCATCTTTGTCGTCCTTTTACATACTATCACAATCGAAGCACGTAAATAGCAACACGAACAAATCTAACTGGCTCATGTTGCACATTTGACCTAAGCCAGATAGAATGAGTTAGATATGAGGAACTCTATTAGAAATGTATGTTATAAGTTAGATATGAGGAACTCTATTAGAAATGTATGTTACAAGTTAAATATACGGAACTCTATTAGAAATGTGTGTTACAAGATAAATATATGGAACTCTATCAGAAATGTGTGTTTCAGTTAGATATGAGGAACTCTATTAGAAATGTATGTTATAAGTTAAATATGAGGAACTTTATCAGAAATGTATGTTACAAGTTAGATATGAGAAACTTTATCAGAAATGTATGTAACAAGTTAAATATAAGGAACTTTATCAGAAATGTATGTTACAAGTTAAATATACGGAACTCTATCAGAAATGAATGTTACAAGTTAAATATACGGAACTCTATCAGAAATGTGTGTTACAAGATAAATATATGGAACTCTATCAGAAATGTGTGTTTCAGTTAAATATGAGGAACTCTATTAGAAATGTGTGTTACAAGATAAATATAAGGAACTCTATCAGAAATGTGTGTTACAGTTAAATATAAGGAAATCTATTAGAAACGTAGGTTACAAGTTAAATATATGGAACTCTATCAGAAATGAATGTTGCAAGTTTTATATAAGGAACTCTATCAGAAATGTGTGTTACAAGTTAAATATACGGAACTCTATGAGAAATGTATGTTACAGGTTAAATATAAGGAACTTTATCAGAAATGTGCGTAGAAGTTAAATATAAGGAACTCTATCAGAAATGTATGTTGCAAGTTAAATACAAGGAACTCTATCAGAAAAAAGTGTGTTACAGGTTAAATATAAGGAACTCTATCAGAAATGTATGTTGCAAGTTAAATATAAGGAACTCTATTAGAAATGTATATTACAAGTTAAATATAAGGAACTTTATCAGAAATGTATGATACAAGATAAATATAAGGAACTTTATCAGAAATGTATGTTACAAGTTAAATATGAGGAGCTCTATCAGAAATGTATGTTACAAGTTAGATATGAGAAACTTTATCAGAAATGTATGATACAAGATAAATATAAGGAACTTTATCAGAAATGTATGTTACAAGTTAGATATGAGAAACTTTATCAGAAATGGATGTTACAAGTTAAATATGAGGAACTCTATCAGAAATGTATGTTACAAGATAAATATACGGAACTCTATCAGAAATGTATGTTACAAGTTAGGTATGAGGAACTTTACCAGAAATGTGTGTTACAGGTTAAATATAAGGAACTCTATCAGAAATGTGTGTTACATGTTAAATATGAGGAACTCTATCAGAAAGGTATGTTACAGGTTAAATATGAGGAACCCTATCAGAAAGTGTGTTACAAGATAAATATATGGAACTCTATCAGAAATGTGTGTTACAGGTTAAAATATTAGAAACTCTATCAGAAATGTATGTTACAAGTTAGATATGAGGAACTTTATCAGAAATGTATGTTACAAGATAAATTTAAGGACTTTATCAGAAATGTATGTTACAAG